AACATAATCCTTTAAATGCTCCTGCTTTTAAAAACGTTTGGCAGGAATGCAGTTTTTTGTCGATCGAAACGAATTTTAGTCATAACAAAATTCTATCTCAAGAAACGCTTGTCCCCTTCCTCGTGTCGCAAAATCCACAAAAACCTAAAAAGGAAAAGAGTCACATCCTCCAAATTGTTGATTTAATGTATGCTTCCGTCTGTTTTGGAGGCCAAGATAATTTGTCATTCCATCCTGCGTGTGTCATCGATATCTCTGGGCGTGTGCTTAGCTCTCAGCAAGCATTTCAGCTATGTTCGTTTTATCTCGCGCTGTAGCTTGAAACACGCTAAAAATAGCTCGACATTCGCTGCACAAGGCCTCCTTGTATGTCTTCCCACATCACAATCACTTTCAACCATTACAACTGAGGTCTTAACGCGAATTTAATTGTTTGGATTACGAAGAAATGTGTTTTTATTAAAAAAAATTAACGCTCATTGATGTGAACCTGATAGCATAGTGCAAATTACTGTCCGTCAAATGTTGTGACTGCTGTTATTTCATGAAGTGATGTTTCATTTTTGTCAGACAGTCACACTCGGCTACGTCACATTTTCGAATCCTTTCCAATAATGCGATTAACGGCGCATATCTAGTTTCGACCGAGAGTTTCACGAAAGCAAATTCAAGGAGAGATTATCCAGCTCTGTTTCCACCAAAACAATTACTGAAACACTCACACCCAAACTCGCGAAAGTCTCGCAAAAGCAAGCCTGTGTATTTTGATGTCACAGGTGGCTTCGGTTTTTCGCGATGTCAAACGCACCCGATAGGGACATAACTTAAATTATACTCCGTGCGATACCACGAATATTTCCCTCGTAAATTTCGCAGACACTTTCCGCGTAAATCACAACTAAACGTTAAACACGGAAACGAAAGTTATATGGCTTGTCTGGTGAATTTGAAACTATATTTTCATTTGGCCTCCGTATAAATTCCAATAAGAGGTAGTTCTTCAGTTAGTAACTTCTGCGTGTGGGAGTTCCATCGGAAATATCAGAGCTGGCTGAGGTGCATGCCTGGCTCAAAACGTAAGCATTTGCTATATTTCTGTATCACGAAATCATCACAGTCTAAAGGACAATTAGACAGCTAAAATACCTTGAGCACGCTTTGGAGATGCCGTTCAATCCGTATTTAATGTCTACTTGTCAGGCATATGCCATGTTTCCATGCAGCCAACGTTCTAAAGTCCAGTATTTAAGAAAGCAAATCTGTCGTTAAACTAATACCTCAATTTTCCCTGTCAAACAAGTTAACCCAGCAGAGAAGAACCATCCAATGGCTTCAGTTCGTTATATTCCGAACGAAAGGTCTTCGACGTGCAATGTCGTATTCGTTGTTCTTCTTGAAGTGGGCAAACGACATAAAGACTTTGTCACTTTTGAAGGAAGGCAGATAATATCAATACAGCACGCAAGAACAGAAAGTGAGACTTTCACGAGCAATTAGTTACGATATCTGTCAACCGATAACGAAGAAAATGGACAAACACCATTTTACACAAAACAGAAATAAGATTGTGAAACCATAACTGACGCAAAGACGATTTCCATTGATTTTATCTACCACAAAAGGGATTATAAAAAAAATGTTCCGACAGCATTCCTTCATTAATTTACTTGTCAGTTTGGGTTTTGCTTGAATATGTGAAATGAACGTCTAAATAAATATGTTGTTATTGGATTTTTCGTTCAGTCTGACTAAAAGATAACAACACGATCGAGAATGTACCCTGGTTCCTTGAGTTCACGCCCTTTGTCCTTTAAGATTAAGTTTTAATAAGCTGCTTTCCTACAGATAGAGTAAACCAGGTAAAACTCACTCAGACAAAAAGGAACCAAATACAGCGTTGGACACAAATATACTTTGTTTGCCATTAAAACTGTTATTTCGATCTTCACGATAACTGGCTTGATCCATGTACAGTGGCGAAGAACTGGTCAGAACTCGGCCGAAATATCCGAAAAGGGGCGTCGACATATTAGATATCATAATGAACATTTCAGTGTAATATCGTTCGTATATTTCTATACACTTTAATTGGCAAGCTTAAAGACCGAGTAAAAAAAAATCGAGACTTTTAACTCTTGTACGGTGTTATGCGATATCAGAAGTATTTGGACTTCTGATAACCCGTTAAACCGGTTTCCTACACAGGATATTTGTCTCTCAGGTTATTTGCTGTATTCCGCTAGTTGGGGTTGAAGAAAAAAGTGTTTCACTTTGAGAGTGCATATAGAAAATATAATGAATCTGCCTACACTGAAGGGCTGTTGACACAAATCTTCAATTTTCTCACAACTTGTTGTACTTTTAACAGTGCACGCAAAAATTGCTCGTCTCTAAAGTTGTTACCCTACAAAAAGACGAGTATTGAATAGTTTTTAGTAACGAACATAGAAATATACTTCTTTCTTATTTCAACTGAGCGTTAAAACCAGAGAATGAATGATAATCCAAGACGCAATGTTCATAATTGTGTCGAAATTCAGACAACAACTGGCAAAACTGACAGTCATATTTCGGTAAGAACTATACTATCATCAGTTAAATACGGTTTTAGTAACAATGAATAGAAGAAAAAAACTACTAATGAGAAAAGGCAAAGTTCTCTGCTGAATTTGAGTCCTTTGTTGAGGGAAGGTGTCCGACGTTTGATGTAATATGCCTCTTTGTATAGCCGGAGAAGATTCTTATCGCTGTAGCAGCGAAGGCCGTACAGTAAGGCTCATTAGTAAGGTCAGATAAAGGCGCATGAAGATAATCGAATGAAAGAGGCTTAGATTTACCCAATTAACAAAGATTTTTTTTTGCAATTTGGTGCTGTGAATTACTCTTTTCGAGGAAAACTCCCTACACATAGCCTGTGCGTGGCAACATACAGTGACTGAAGGGTTAACATGCCGAGAGGGTAGTCTTGATGTAGTACCAAATATTCAGAAATAACATAGAAGAAATACATGACAAACAGCTCAGAGAATTCATGTTTTGAGCTCGAGATTTGAGCTTAACGTGACGACAATTTAAGACCTAGGCTTTGATCCTTTTTTTTCGGATATTCACACAAGTTAAGCAGGCTAATTCCAGCGTCACTTCCTTAATGAATAGATTTATCCCAGGTCTGATATCACGACCAGATTCGATACGACTTTTATAGACCGGTAAACAAGTATATAATGCTACAGCTGCAGATGATAGGGTGTTATTATGGCAGTAGAAAACAACTCAAAGCAAAGCAGAAAATGATAAGATATTACAAGTTATAGGTTCAAATGTTGAAAGACGAAAACTAGGTATGCCAGACAACTGTGTATGGGCAGAGTATATCGAACACAACACTCTATTTCTGTACATTCTGGCAGTTTCGCAATGCGACGAGAAGATATTGCAAAAGGTTTTCAAATGAAAAAAGGATCACAAATTATTAAAGCAAATCAGTGTTTCATGTTTGTAAAATCCAGGTCGACAAAAAAATCTATAGTCTTTGATGATACGATTTTTTAAGAGATACTTCACTTAGCAAACAGTGTATGCCATTCATTTCCTAACTTACGCTTAACTTGGTCAGATGGATGTTTGGTTTGCTTCTTTCACTGCTGTAGTACAAGATGGCAATTCTAACACAATCAAAAGCAATGGAGGAAAAACTGATCTACAATGAGAGTACCTACATGACTCGAGTAGATCATTCCTTCAAGAACTTGTTTTCACGAAGCAGTAAATAACAGCGACATTCAGTTTAGCAGAACCACTCCCCTTCAATGGTCCCTGAGCGACACATGTGGTACGGTAAAATTTCTGGTCTTGTCATGCAAATATACGATTCCACCATTGGATAAACAACGGGGAACAAAGGGAAAGAAGTGGCTTATCGCCCGGCAAAGCTTATTAAAGAGGGCTGTTCAAGCGAACATTTGGTGAACAGCTTAAAGGTGGGTTGAACCAGACGTGAAATTAAGAATTTTAACGACATAGATAACTATGGTCAGATAGGCTTGCATATACTGTTCAGCCGTCTTGTCTTTTCTAAACCGTTAGAGTTCTTCTGAAAACAGACGAGAGAGAGATTAAAGCTGTTTTGAAACGCTGGATGGACCTGTAGGTGATATGAAATTGAAAATACATTGCAAGTTTCAAGCGAACAACAGCACGTATCTTACTATGACTTATTGGCAATTATCACCTCGGA